TATATATATATATATATATATATATATATATATATATATATATATATATATATATATACGATTATATTGTACTTGGGTATCAACGTATCGACTAAGTGGAAAGATTTTCCCACTCACAACCCTCATTATTCTGCCTTGAAATCAACACCTTTATATAAGATAATAAAAAGTTTCTACTTGTTCCTACAGTTCCTACTTGTATATATATATATATAATGTAAATTGAAATTTAATTGATCTGTATATAATTTAATTACACACAATCAAAAAAAGACATAGCATAAAATAAATCAGATTTAACAACTTCACAAAGGCCAGATAATTACCTCACCTGGTTGCTGTTCCCATTCGAAAGAGCTTGAGATTGCTGGTGTTGCATAAAAATGGAACCTGCTTGATTGTCCATAACTATTTCACTGTGCCAACACGCAAATACCTGCGCGACGATAAGCAATTACCAAACCTTTGAAATGATTTTGGTTTTGTATTTAACCACTTTCCAGAATATTTTTGTTAGCATCGCGGAATCTTTTCCTTCGCTCAAAAAAAAAAAAAAAAAAAAAAAAGAAAAGGAAAAAAGAAAAACGAACAACGAAAAATCTTTCCAAACAAAAATGAATGTTCGAACAACTAATTACTTTTAAGAAGGCATAAAAATTTCGTACTCATACTGATGCACAAGTTGAATATGAAAATCAAGAGAACATACCCTACAAGTGTATAAACCAAAACAAATAATAAAATTAAAGTTTGGAAATATGTGAATTATTAAAATTACAATTCACCTTCTGCGAGTAGGTGGTCGGATTCGGAAAACGGCTCGAGCCCCAAAGCTTCATTCACTCCCTTTAATATTATCTTGAATTGTTACAAAAAACGACAGCTATATTATCTTGAATTGTTACAAAAACAACAGCTCTAACTCTAGCAGACATCTTCCACCTTAAATAATCCTTAACATTTCTTTAAAAATTTGGTTATTTGAACTAACAGCAAGTTATCATAAAATTATTAGCACTTCAATCTCACTAATGCAGTAATGAAAATATTCAACATGATACAGAAGTGGAAATTGAAACCTACATATAAGCTAATATATAATAAATAGGCTTTTAAGGAGAGGCGGTGTCATTCTAAAAATGATCAATAGGCTTTCACGATACAGACAAACCACTTCATCGCTCATCGCTATTTCATTTCACTATTGTTTATAGAATTGTACAAGATAAGCCAATATAAAAGGCGTTCTTTGCTTGGTATACACACTACTGGAAAAATAATCCTTCACTAAATAACTGCCGTTCAAGTATTGAGCAGCGATTGAGATTAAATCTACAGTTTTACTTATCAGACAGCAGTGTACTCATATTGGTTAATGATATCGAATAAACAATTACTTTAGATCAGTAATAAAAATTAGGATTATCCTTAACAACTATCACTTAATATTTGAAATAATTGCTGGTTTATAGCAAGGATAGGAGAGAAATTTTGAAGAATGTTCCACCTCCGAAGTTTGTAACGGAAAATTGAAAAAAAGACTTTGGCAGTGAAGTAAGTTCTCAAATTATAATCAATATTTGGGGAAAAACTCTCAGAAATCGAAAGCCTGTCGAATACAAGGCCATCAAAGTTGGTGCGCAAGAAAAGTATTATTTTTTTTGTATTGAGGGATGCGAGATCTATAATATCTCAGGATATCAATCACAAGAAATCAAGTACCAAAGGAAATTACAAGCACTACCCCTCCAACTCGCCCGACCACACCCAACAGTTTGCACGGATCCTCCGAGACTTGCAGAAATGCCCACTTTCACAATAGGCCGTGAAACTACGACTTGTCTTGCAATGCAAAACTTCTTGGGCCATCAATTTGTGACTTTAATAGCTGCTCATTGATTTTTTGAAGATCTGTGAAACCGCTGCAAGGAAGGCCATTCTTCGAATATGTCAGAGGTGTAAACTCCACTTAATCAGGTAAGTCGGAGGTGTTTAGAATTCGGGGGGAAGGGGATGGTCCGAACCAGACTTCTCGGGAGCTTGCGTTATGAATCAGGAGAAATGCTAATATCGAGTAGCTTACTGATTACTGATGTTTCAGTGATTCGTATTCACTACGCCATCAGTCATAAATATATATCGCAGGATCCGAGTGATATGACGTGAGAAAGACTTTCATACAGTACCTCTTTGACAGTGGCGGTAGTTACTAATATTTTAAAATAAAATGCGAAATGGACTGTGATTCTTTGATTGCACAGAGCTCCCAAAAATAAATAACAAAAAAAAAATGAAAATATTTTGTGGTCGCCCAGCCCAAAGTGGTAAAATTGTGGCAAAGAAAGTAACCTATCCCCCAACCGATTGAAAACTATGCAAACAATTCTAGTAGTGGGAGTAAATTCAGTATAGATAATATTGCTCCCTGAATAGCATCTCTAGCAGGTAGATGTCTTTTTTAATTGTCAGTTACTTCCCGCCTCCTTAGATGCAAGTTTAATCTGAGTGCAATATTAAAATTCAAAAAGAATAGAAACTGATGAAACTTTTGAGTTCCGAACTTTGTTTCCAATTTGCTTCCTCCGAACTTCAGTTCTTTCGCAAAAAAAAGTACAGCGTTCTCCATCCTGTAATGAGCTTTTGTAGATAGGATGCTTCTTTGAAAGTTACCGATTAATTAGTTGAAGGTAAAAAATAATGAACCAGCAAACGGATATCATTTATTCATGTGGAGTAACGTGCTATTAATCTGGAGGAACAGTGATATAGGTTAGCATCTTTCTAACCAACTTATTATTTTGACTATAAAAAGAAAAATTTGCATCTTAGAATAAGGTGACAAGTCATGTATTTTTTGATGACAGCAATAAGGATGAGTAGTGAACCAGTAGGATGGTTTCGTCTGGTCCTTACAGAATCGATTTGGCCGCGAGTACCTAGAAATCAGTTCGTCAGATTGTTATTGAGAACAAAACGAAACACTGAAAGTGGATAGATGTGGATGGATGTTGTTGTTGTCTCCAGTGAGTAGAATATTAGGACAGGAAGGACTTCGCCACTTGATGTTAACTGCAACAACGGGTTGATTGGAAGAAGGATAACAGTAGGATCGGCACAGAAAGAGACAGGGATTCCGCGTTCCATTAAAGGAACAGGTGAGGAATATAGTTGAATCGGAGGGTATTCTCCGCATCCGTGTACTCGCAATAATATTAGTGTCTTCTATTTGCATCACTTCTGGTCTAGTTTTGAAGGTCGAGACTCGGACAGATTGTGCAGTTTTGATTTGCCTCGCAGAGAGAAATTTACTGAAAGCATAATGTTTCTCAGGAAACAAAACGTTTCGAAATATTAAACAGTTTGAAGTTATTATGATCATTCATGGATTGAAAATTAGTGTAGAAATTATTGATTTGGAACACAGATCGAACACATGGAAAGAAATTATAAGAAATACTGCTAAAAAGTTTTGACATTTGTTTGAAAATATGGTAAAAATTCAGTACAGCGACACCAAAGAAGTATATTCAAGACAGTGGCATCAGAGAAGAATGAAGTAACATTTTAAAAAGACCTGTATATTCAATGTAGTAACTTTTTGAGTGTAATTGGCAAGTTTGAAACTTGAAATATGATTGATATATTTCGTTTGAAAAGAAACGGGTTATGTTTAGGATCATATCACTAATTAGTGCAGTGCATCGTCGCCGAAACTGTTCACATTGCTATATTTCAAAAGGGACAGGTTTTTGACATCATGGTGCACTACACGTGGGACGGTAAGAGATCAGAAAAAGAGGTGTCATCTAGTTCTGATGGAGAGTTGGTATTTTTGGAGAGGGAGATTCACTGGTAAGTAATGTGAAAAGGAAGCAATAAAAGGAAGACAAAAATATGTCTTTGACTTGAAAGACGAAATACAACCGATATTAACTACAATGTGTGCTAAGTTATTGCAATAAGAGGCTGGAAATATTCTTGTTTCGCTTGTGCAAATTGTATCAGGTGGAAACAGATAGGAGGACAAACGTATACGTAGACAGTTGCAATGGTAACATTGATTGAGGTTTTAATAAGTTTGAATTGTAGGAAGATCAAATAAACAATCCACTCTGCTCATTGAACAGAGTAGAACTAGTAGAATATGAAAAAATCTAGAAGGATTGGGAGTGATAAAAAAACTATTTATTTCATAAGTTGTTTTCTAAATTTTTTGGTAAATCACATCCTGCATTAAAATTCGTTCTTTGTACAATGTTAACAATACACATGGATGATTTTGTATACACGTAGATGGTTTTATGAAATCAACAAATCTTCGATTAAATCAGGTATTGCAAAAGATATGAGAAATCTCCAGATTATTCAAAATTCCTCATAAAAGGTATCGAAACTAGAAAGTCGACGAATGCAGCTTTTTAATATCAAAAGTGCTACACGGTGTCAACGGGATATATCACTCCCTTGTATTGTCCCAAAACACTGTACCAATCAATATTATAAGAACCATTGTCCAATCATTTTTCTTTTCTAATTCTCTAAAAATTATGAGAGAAATAATCAGTTTAAAACGCCGAAACCATTACATCATAAATATCGTAGTTAGTCAATTTCTCAGTGACTTTTAAGATATATTTAAATTCATTTTCATAAATCCATCTGATAACAGAAATCATTCACCCTTTTTAGATGAACGAGTGAAGTGACAAGATTCGTTCATCGATGTCGGATGATATAAACCGAAGCGGCTACGACCCACCTCTCCATACTGCTCTATTAATATAGATTAAAAAAGCTCGAGATCAAGAGTGAATAGTGAGAGTAGAAATCGATGAATTAAAGTCAAGCAATCAAAGTAGCTGAACAAACGACGACTAATGCAATACCCTGTTGATTTTCCATAAAAAATACGCAGCATCAGTCTAAATTTCATCCACACATGGATGATTCGTGTGGTGAAATTCTTTAAAAAAGTGCACTTTTTTAAGCAAAAATTTATTCTATTTTTTTTTTTTGAAGATAAGCAATCAATTGTTGACAAGATTAATTGTGATAATGTCACTATGAGCAAAACTTACATTTTAAGCACTGTGCTAAGAATTCGATGTTTTGTGCGAAGCGAAATGAAAGTGAACAAATTGATCAAAATTCATCAAATAAAAATAACTGTTGAGAAGTGTATGTAAAAATGTGAAATACTTCCAGTATGAATTGCTTTACTATTACTCTAAAAATATTCTACATTCTTTGCTATTACAAATCTTCGTCATGAGCTTGCCATAATTAGCGCGACTAACACACTTTGCCATAATTAGTATGATTATCATACTTCGCCATGATTAGTATGATTAGCATATCTTACCACGATTTGTAGGGTTAGTACATCTTACAACGGTATACTTCTGAGAGTACGATATATCTAGAAAAGACATGGACAGGAAATAAATAAAAACAACTGATTCATTTTAACAGCATCAAAAAAAGATCTATTAGTACGAATGCTCAGGAATTAATATACATTTTCATTATTCAGATTTTGTAAAAGGCACAGAATATTCTTTCCCAAGTGATAAATATATCTTCCGCTGTGTTTCGTTCCTGAATAAAGATTTGTAATCCAGAATTTATAATTCCTGCATACAGATTTTGAATACGGTTTAATAACTTTCCGTAAAACTCTCATAGTACTCAAAAGTAGACTGTTCTTCGGCTTCAGAATTCTTAGTAGTAGAAATACATCATTACCATCCTCTAATCTAAATTCAGTTCGGATGTGCTTTGGTACGAATTCACTAGGATCATCTCTAGTAAAATTGTAAAGCAAAAAGTGATAGTTTTCTTATGAGGTAGGTATTGCAAATGGACGAACAAAATTCAATGTTTTTTTTTTTTGAAATGCTATTTACATATATGAGTTATATAACAAGTCCGATGATTTGGCAATTATATTCTCGGAATCAAAAACACGACAGATAATGACAACTCAGAAAAACAACTGAGTTCATTGATTGACACAATGAAGTCTGCATTAAAACAAAATTCTTTCAACAAAATTCTTGGGTGTATTGAAACGGTGGATATTTTCATTAAGATATCTTGACTAATTCCACTGAAATTTATTGAACAATCAGATTTATTCATCCAAGCAAAAATTCTTATGCGGAAAATTAATGAAATATGAAAATGAGTGGTAGGATGGGAGTAGTTTATCGTTTTTTATTGTTTTTTGACTAAAACTACGGATTGTTTTTAAATTTTTGAAGAGAATCTTTTGAAAATCATATGTTCATGACCCTTTTAATTTGAACTTATTTTAAACCAGGTACAAGAAATCTATTACCATTTTATGTCAAAAAAACGGTCCGAAATCGGAATACCAAAAGTATCTTCCAACTTTAAAATTATTAGAAACTCGAATAGAAAAAGCATTTATAAAAAGAAATTCTTCCTTCAAGACCGTAATACGAAGGTGTAATTTTTGTAAAAAATTGTTGAGCTTCTTCAGATTGGATGACGCTGCTGGGAAGTTAGGAACCAAATAATACCTGGCAAAACTAAAGCCATAAATCAAAAGAAAAATAGTTCTTTAGGTAAAAGAAATGCCTTCTAACTCAGCAAGATGCGTTTTTCGAGACATTTCAAGCTTTTCAAATCAAACAGCAATCATTGCATCTGGGCCACTGAGAGCTGCTTGGTCCCATATGTTTTATTTCAATGTGTTGTTATTCACCGATGAATCATTTAAAAATATTTCTTGTTTTGTCAGGAGTTAAAGGAATAGAAAATTGGGGAACTTAGAATATATATATATATATATATATATATATATATATATATATATATATATATATATATATATATATATATATATATATATATATATAT